AAATACAGTAAGATAGTGATATGATATTGATATAGTAAGATTTTTTGAATATCCTCAAATATTTTTATTGACTTATTAAAAGCTTGACTAACATCCATATTGCTTCATTTTCTCATGCATTGTTATGATTTATAAGTATGAGTTTTCACCGGCTTGTTTAACTCAGAGTTAATTTAAACTAACGTTTCAGTTTAATTATGTTTAAGAAAGACACAGACAACCAGTAACGAGATAGAATTTAAAAACATTGATTTAATTAAATTGATTGATGACTCTTTCATTTGTTAATAGCAAGTTATTAAAAATGAATAAAAAAAATTTAATTTATATCGTCCGACCATCTGTTCTCGTCTTGATTAATTCCAAACATCGGGTTAGGTCGTGATATTCAACAAGATAACCAAAAAGAGGAGTCATTCTAGTAAACAAATAGGCATCCACAAGAAAAAAAAAAGAGACTTGGTGTTTGTGTAGTTCTTTAAAATGGAAAATTAACTATCGATAAAGCAAAATACGCACGGAAAATCATTGCAGTAAATCATGAAAGCAATGATACCCATGGAATCAACATATGTGAATCGAAGTATGCTTGCAAGAAACAAAGCATTTAAAGAACTATAAGCAACTAATAAAGGAAAATCTTTATTAAACACAAATAAATGAAAGTAAGATGTTTACGCCTATGATTTTACAATCTTGTTGCAAGCTAATAAACTTATACTGCCTCTTAGGTGAAGATACTTGCAAGGAAAGACTAAATGTATGATATTCTACTTAAGCTTAGAGTTATCAGAAGTACCATTTTTTATTGGCTTACATTGTTGGAAAAATAGATCAAAGCATGCTACTCCTAATAAGAAGCAAATTTTCTATGAACATCGCAAGTACCTCAATGTCGTGGGGCTGTCTTAAAATTAGTTCATTTTATTTTCAAAGGAACTTTCTTTTTAGTCTAACACTCGCAACATCCATATATTTTCTTCCAAATTTTGACGATAAAAATATTGTATTCAACACCATATATCCTGATACGCACCAACAGTCAATATGTCATCAACAAATAACCATCAACCTTTAATATTCAGATTGTCTGATATTGGAGTTAACCAAAACCGCAATAGAAAAAATATTATTACTAAAAGTCAATAGACAGTTACAGCCAACACACCTGAAAGAAAAAATGCAACAACACGACACCCGAAAATGCGAAATAACAACATACATGACAAGCACTCAAACTCAAATGGATCACAGGGTGGTGGTGGTGATCGGCGATGATTTGGAGAAATTGTGGCAAGGGGCTAGGTGGGTTGGACAGCGAAGGAACAACAGCTACGAGCGGTTATGGGCGGCAACAAAAACCATGGCAGCGCAAGGAAGTGCTAAAACAACAGCTATGCGGTAGAGATGTGGTTCAGATAGTTGAAACACCATCGGACAACAGGTAGGGAGGGAGAGGATGGTTGGACTGGGAAGGATGGCAGGGAACGGCAGAAAAAACAATGGTTGCGTTGTTTTCTTGGGACGGTAGCAAAGCCACGGTGAACTGGATGAAGGGGAAGAATGCAGTCTGGAGCGGGGAAGGGTAGAAGGGGATAAATATCGCCTGAGAAGAGAGATACAATAGTAACACCACTCGACCCTTGGAGGAGAATCACCATCATAGAACGAGATACAATCGGAGCACCATTCGCCCATAAATATAGCCCTAGAAGTGAGAAATCAGGATGTTGATGACTATCCTGAACGGAAACACGACAAAAAATTCTCTTCCAGACCCTAATACAACACATATATAAGAAATAACTAGAAAACAAAAAATGATTAAAAGAAACATGCTGAAAATTGGAAAAAAAGCAAAAGGAGAATCACTCAAATCGATTCAGGCCGTTCACATGATCCATCTCTAGCATCCGGGTTGTGGGCGTATCGTACGCAGGACGCGTTCCCGCCTCTGCATTGGACATCCCACGTCAGTGTCGTGTCAATACTTGAATGATATTATTGATGAAAAAAAGATTAATCCAAAATTTTGAATCAAACCATTGAAATTGATTATTTTAGTTTATTTTTGTTTAGATTTGATATCATGCTTTATTAGGTTTGATTAGATTTGTGCTTTTATCAAACTATAAGTAACTAAACATAAACACTTGAGGATGATAATTAAAAATTTCTTAAAGATAAGCAACTAATTCCTATTGTCGTTTGATTAATGATATTGTGAGATCACAATCCTTAATTATTTAGGCAGTAGATTCCCCTTTCACTAATCAAATCATTTTACCCTATATTCCTTTAGACCAAACTACTTGATTCCATAGAGGGTTAAATGCTTTATTAATGTTTCAACAGGTTCTTTTTTTCCCTGGATCATTATATTAGATTATTTGTTTTACTTATTCATTTTCTTATAACAAATTTGTCAAATCAAATTCTAAGCATTGAAAACAATTTAAAATCAAACATAACCAAGAATTAAATGGGAGTTCCTTAAGATTATTGTTCTTAGAATAAAAAGAGAGCCAAAACCAAAGAAAACACCTTGGATTGGTTTGATTAAATTCGTCATAATGGCAATGTGACCATAGTTTCATATTAGTTAAATGATTTAATTTATTTTTGTTTAAAATAATGGTTGGTTTGGCATCGAAACCAAATTGGGCACACCAGCCTCTAATTATGATTTCTCCTCTATTCAAAATGAATTAAAACATGTCTTGATTGTATCTTAGAGCCATTTTATGGTTTAAAATTAAAAAGCACATTTTGAAAAATAATAAAATTTAGTAGTATCATTATTTGTTTGGTCGTGGTTGGGAAACCATTTTGATTTTAAGCCTCCAAAAAACTCATGAAACCCCATAAAAAATTTGGTTCCGAAGTTATAATCTTTCAAAACATGTTTTATACTCATACGCAACCAAATAAGCCTTTTGCCCCTAAAAAGAGCTATTTGGTTGCTAGATGTCGGGGTTGTTTAGTAGCTTGTTTTAAGCATGATTTCTGTTAAATCCTGTTGAACGGCAAAAAAAACATTTGTAAATCCTACAGGTTCTTAAATCCCATTTTTTCCTCATTTTTTCCTTAAATCTGGGATTTAGTAAATCTCGTTGAAAGAAAGATTTATGAGATTTAGAGAAGCTAAAGCGTGGGGGAAGATAAATCATGCTAAAATTGTCAAACAGTTTCAACGTATTTGTTAGGATTTACTTATTAATATACCAAACAGTTTTTTATATTTAACTCCTTCAATATTTCATAAATCCAGATTTACAGATTTAACTAAATCCTACTTGCAAGCAAACAGACCCTTAAGCAGAACTTATGTAGGATCTAAAATAAATACAATAAAATGGTAAAAAATGCCAAAATAAATTCGGCAGAATTGTAAATCTCATTTTGCATCCATTTTGACTTAAAACCCAGATTTATGAAATTAAATAGAACGACATAATTGTAGAATTTTAAAAAGCATAAGCACGTGGAAGGGGGGAGAAAGATGAGGTTTATGTCCACTAGCAAGCTCTCGTCATGACCTCCTCACTTGTTTTTCACCGATGGCTTTGAGTTAGTGCAAGAGGGAGGAAACATCTAGGAGTGTTTCAAAACCTTCAATATTTCATAAATCCAGATTTACAGATTTAACTAAATCCTACTTGCAACCAAATAGACCCTTAAGCAGATATGTAGGATTTAAAATAAATACAATAAAATGGTCAAATATGCCAAAATAAATTCAGCAAAATTGTAAATCTCATTTTGCATCCATTTTGACTTAAAACCCAGATTTATGAAATTAAATAGAACGACATAATTGTAGAATTTTAAAAAGCATAAGCACGTGGAAGGGGGGAGAAAGATGAGGTTTATGTCCACTAGCGAGCTCTCGTCATGACCTCCTCACTTACTTTTCACCGATGGCTTTGAGTTAGTGCAAGAGGGAGGAAAACATGAGGTTTTCAGGAATTTGGGTGGGAGAGGAAGAGGAAGAAAAAAGGCATTTATGAGCGAAAGATGAGCAATACTATTAATGATTTTAATAATTTTTTTTAAATAGTATTTATGATTAATTTTGATTACATTAAAAGTATTACATGCAATCACTTTAATAGACTATTAATAATAATTAATTAGAATATTCTCTTATGTAAACTATACTTTAATCAAGTTTCTAAGAATTTATTAATTAGTATAATAATAATCAATCAAATAAATTGGATACAAATATGTTAATTAAAAAATAAATTAGCCATAATAATTAATAATATTTAGTCAAAAAAATTAACTTAAAAAAGACATTACTTGTGTTCTAATGATCACATAAGTTATTGCATTAAATTGGCTTAATACTTTACTAACTAACAGTTAATTGGAATTTTATTTAAGCTAAATATGATTGCAACAATGACTGAAATGTGTCGCTCAACTTGATCAATTACTTCATACTTTTGAGTGAATAGAAGAATAATGGTGTCCAACTAATTTCTTTCTTAGAAATTAGGAGCTTTAGCTATTAAGCTGCTTTTGCATGAATTTTCATTATTATAAATGTATGGCATATCTTAATTTCATTATCAATAAATATTATTCAAAATCTTATTTGAGCTAATAGATTTAAATCCTAAAAGAATTATTCAAATAAATTAGCAAGATTTAAACAGATTTACCGTCCTATCAAAGAGTTTCAGTATTGAACTTTTTTAAAATTTACTAAATACTGCTGGCAGCTTAACAGCCCCTAAGAGTTTCTCAGGCAACCTGATGAGCACCTTAGTTGAGGAAAAGATCAATAAGTAATGAAATCGATCTGCACAGCCCAAAATTCATTCATTAAGAAATAGTAATTTTCATACTGTATTCACGTCAAATCAATGAACAGAAACCATATCAACAAACCCAAAAGTAATCATTGGCATTTTTATATTCTTCAATACCAGAGATTCATTAGCAAATTTATCACGAAATAGAGAGATAAATATAAAGAGGGCATAACTCACAGTCACCGAGCTTTCCGGGAACGGTAACCGATTCTTTGACGCAGACCTCAACGTGGTCGGAGAAGCCGCCGGTAGCAGAGAGAGCCCTGGTGGGGAGAAAGCGAAACCGCCCAAGCAAGCGGCATCGACAAGGAACGAAGAAGCGGAGGTGGACATGATTGGGAGTGAGAGCAGTCGAGGAGCGGGTAAAGACGGAGGTGGTTGCCGCCACAGCCAATGCCATGGAGGAGAGGGGATAGAGTCCGGCTGGCTTTTATGAAAACGAAAGGTATAGCGGCCTTTGCGTCTAAGAATAAGACTCACTCACTCACTCACTAGTGTAATTCACTATCAGGCCGTTTGCGGCAGCTCATTTGTTGCGCTGGCTTTTTGAAACACACCTAAGCTGTTTGGGTAAATTGTATTTTGGCAATTGTATTTTGGCAACTTATGCGTTTTCAAAACGCTGAAAACAATGTTTTCACACCGCACCTATCTAAGTGAGGTGGCAGTTTTATGTCTACGGTTTGGCTTTTTCAAAAAAATAAAAATTTGTAATAGATATCGCACCTAACTTATTTGATTATTTTTAATCAGTTTATCAGCAAATTATTCAATAAGCTGCAGTTGCCCCAAACAGACCCTTAAATAGTCTTGTGTTTGTGCGTGACTCGTTTGCTTAGCGAGCCCAACACGAGCTGAGCCAAACACGAGCTGTTCACAAACAAATAGTTGTTTTGACAACCTTAATCACGTAGCTATAAGATGTTAAGAATTTGGACAAGATTTAAAACATCATTTGAATCTAATTTAATAATTTTTATTCTATTTTCTTCATTAATACTTTTAATTGATTATAAATTTTTGTAGCCTTATAGTCAATTATTTTTTTTTTCAAAATACTACTCATCAAAGATATATATATACAATTGATTAGTAGTATTTCAACCCAAAACGAGTCAAAAACAAACGAAAAAATATTTATTCATGTTGTTCGTGTTTTGCTTGTTAACTTAGCGAACGAGCCGAACACGAGCTACTTAACAAGCCGAACACGAGCTTCTTAACAAGCCGAACACAAGTTGTTTGCGAACAACGAGCCGTTTTGACAGCCCTAATCCTAAACACCCTCAACATAATTTAAGAATAGTGACATTATTTTCAACATTAAAGAGAGATATAATATATATATTTTGTCTACATTCATATCATATGAAATATTGTTATTTATAAATCTAACATTCTATTTTTTAAATTCTTGAGTAAATATCAAAATTCATGATGAAACCACAATACATATTTTTCATTTTTATCAATTTCTCAATGCTTCTAATCTTAGAAATATTATCTTGTTATGCAAAAAAATGTGAAAATAAAAAAATTCAAACAGCAACAATTAAACAAAAAAAAATTTACATGGTTCATCATTAAGTTAATTCACTTGTGTTCGTAGGGAGAGGGATTTTACTAACACTGGATGCGAAGAAAGAAAAATTACTCTGGGTTACAAATTCTACACTTCTCATCATAACTATCTCATGAATCATAAGTCCATTTTATAGGTGATGATTAGGGCATACTAGTAAATAAAGTTAGAAGACCAAGTTACTCTTATTTATAAAAAAAAATTTATAAGTACAATAATCTCCGCCGTATCTTTTACTTCTAGAAAAGTGAAAGACAATCAAATGAGCTTCAAACTCCAATTCAGTTGCACCAATAAGTTTGTCTACATACCACCGTCCCGAAGGAATCAAGCCACGCGTAGCTCTTTTAAATACTCGACTAGGCAATCAGTTATAAGCTCGGATGTTCACAAAACTCATGTCTTATGTGAACTTCTACAGTGGTATTATCTTCGTGAGCATATTGGTTTGATTCTCCTTTGTACTTATCTTCTTCAATAGAACATTGTTGCAATCAATCAAGTCTTGAGCACAGCAGTACCTCATATCAATACGCTTTGTAAGAGCACGATGAATTGAATTTGTGACCAATGTATTGCATTATGACTATCACAAAACACCGTCAAAGACTACTGGACAAAACCCAAGTCATTCAATGGGTCTTGCGTCCATATTGCTTCAACTTCCATCATCTGATTGTCGTGTACTCAGCCTTCGTGGTGTACTATGATGTATGTGTGGTTAGATTCTTGATTCTCTTTATTTATATTTCTTTATTCACAACGGCACAAAAAAACTTTGTGTGATTTTCTTTTAAATATTGAGATACCACGCAAATATATATATCGTTATCAGGTAATATATGACTTTTTGATTAAGCCCCGAAATATCGAACCCACAGAGAGAACTACAAATTTTTAAGAAGAAATTAAGTGACAAACTCTACTTTTAAAAATAGTCTTACTTAAACTAGAGATATTATGGTAATAATGAAAATTTGATTATTTTTTGTAATTTTTTATAATTGAAAAAAAATTAAACAACATATTTTTGGTAACTTTGATGATTGAAAATAAAGTTAACAACTAATTAAATTTAATTAAATTTTTATAAGATGAAAGCAATACAAATAAAATATATTTTTTCTTATCGTGAATTAGTAACAAGCATGAGAATTATATTGTGGAAGTATTTAAATTGTGTTATGGCAAATAAGAGCAATATTATTTTTTACCCTTACTAGAGATATCATAAAAAACATTAAATAATCTAAAGTTTGAATAGTCCTGAAGACGGGATAGGTAGGGAATATATCAGCTCTCACTTTAGAGTTTTTTCTTTTCCCTCCACCTGGGGGCTAACATCTCGCATCAAAACCTAAAATAATATACTGAATTGGGGGCTTTAGTCTGTCACTATAAAGCCCTCTAACTCTATAGTCTTCAAAGTTTATTTCCATATTTTTTTGCACTCAACCATATGAATTACATTCTCATCCTTACATTCTCATCCATTACATTCTCATCCATACAGTCTCATGTGATTCTACCATTAGTTGATTGAGGCAATACCATCAAGAATATTACATATTCTCACAACAAATATTAATGTCTAAATTGGTCAAATCAACAAGTAAATTAAGTACAATGATTAAATCATCATAGTTTATTCCTGCATTATAGATCAATACTTGACACATCTTCCTTCCAACACTTAATTACTTATCATTTTAAGGAAAAAAAGATAAATAAAACTACTCATAAAAATAAAACTACTCATAAAAAAAGATAAATAAAACTACTCATAATTCATGGAGAAAACACAGCAACAATTAAGTTTAAAAGTAAAAATCATATAAAAACATAAGAAGTCTAAATTAAAACCAAATATAGTTCCGCCTAACTCTTGAAGTTCCTTTGAATATTTTCTTTCGCTTACAATCCTCCATAGGTCTGGTCACCCAACCCTAGAGGGTTAAAATCTCTCTATTTTCAATCATATCTCTCTCTTTATCTCTCTAATCCACCCCCCTCTTAATTCAATCAAAGTCCTCATTTTTATAGTTTTTCAAAAGGTGTTTTGGTGTCTCTTCAAAATATATCCACATTCAATGAATCTTCCAAGAGTTGCCTATTTTCAAGAGTCATTTCAATGTATTTTCATGCCAATTAACTATAATTCACGTTTTTACCAAGAGTTACTTCAAACACCCCTTTGAAATTCGTCCAAAATTCTTTGAATTTTCATCTTAACTACCTCACACGCATAAGTGTGAGGTCTTCAGCATTTAAGCGCGACCTTCTCTGTTTCCTAGCCCTTAAGCATCAGTCCTGGGCGCTTGGGCGCTAAAGTTTATTTTCACACTTTCTTCATTTTTGCTCCAAATTTGATACATTTTCACTTCTTTCACCATATTTTCATTCATTTAATTGTACATGAAAGAAAAACACACTAATACATTTCATTAAAACGTAATATCTAAAAAATAGGTATAAAAATGTATACATAAATGTTATATATTTTAGGTGTATCATATCACAGGGATCACGATAACGATACAAAGGAGTGCAGACTCCTCTGAAGCCTAATCAGGTGCTGATAAAGAAGGGGAAGTTGAAAGAATTCGCTGCCCCTGGTGTCGCGACCCAAAAGCAAGGCAAGGCTCTCGCGGGAGGAGTGATTAACGCCACTCATATTGCGGGGCACGTGCCGACAATCTTCGGAGGGAGCGAGCCACCTAGGAAGACATGTTGGAAGAGGCAACAAGCAGAGGAACTCTGCGTCTCCACCTTTGTCCTGAAGCCCAAAAGTCATCCACCTATCTATTTCACTGACGAGGATCTTCCCCAAAAGGGAAACTCGTTTAATGATGTAATTGTAATAACAACAATAATAAATAATTACCAAGTAAGGAGTATTGTCATTGAGACATGTAGCCTCGTGAATGTGTTATTCAAACAGGTGTTCGATACTAACAATTGGATGACCGCTAAAGCTAGTCCACTGTATGGAATCTCATGCAAAATGAAGGAAACACTGGAAGTAATCAGACTCCCAGTAAGTTTGGGAGAAAAATAAAAACAATTTACGCTCATAGAAGATTTTCTCATGGTAGATTCACCCCCCAACTTACAATGCTATGTTCGACCGACCACTTCTGAGCAATTTTAGCGTGGTAGTCTCTATTTACATCGTCACTGTCAAATTTCATGGAGATGGATAGATCATCACGGTCAGGGGTGACCTATAGTAGTCCCGAGTTTGCTATTTGCGACCTATAAGCTACGTGGAGCACGATCCCCCACATATCCAAAATGCAAGAGAGGGTGGCCTTGAGTCCAACGAAGCCACTCGTGAGGTTCCGACGGTCGAAGGAAAACCTGGTAGATGTTTTATGATTAGCGAATCTTTTGTTGTAGGTCACAAAGAGTTGTTGGTCCAAACCCTCCGAGAAAACCAAATTGTTTTCGCATGGACGACCGCTGAAATGCTGTGCATGCCAATCAATGTTGCGTGTCACAGGCTGAACGTTGATCCATCGACCCGACTCATGAAGCAGAATATCAAGAGCCCGACCATGACGTTGGCAAACCCATCAGAGAAGATGTGTGAAAGTAATGAAGTATAAATGCCATTTTTATTGGACAATTCAAATCCTATTATAAAAGGTACTTTAATTCTAAAGCTAGTTAAAGTAATAGACACATTTCCCACAGTAAAGACAAAAAGCCTAAGACCCATGCAATAGTGACCCGAGTTAAAAGGTCTTCCAGAAAATACAACCTAATTAATTACTATTAACCTCAATTTTCTTACTTATTGATTCAGATATAAGTGAGTCCAAGTGCTACAATAAAACTATGAGTAAAAAATCCTGTCAAATGGGAGCTTATTATAATAGAATGGATTAAATCTCATAAAACTTAGACGCTAACTAAGCCAAGAAAAGAAGAAGGTGTTGCAAAATAAATATATACACAAGTGAGGGAATAATAGCCAAGAACCAAAAGGTACAAGGCAAGCTTGCTGCCAAAGAATTTCAATAATAAAAGATCTGTGCTTACAAGTATATTCTCTCATACAATTAAACTAATGAATGTTAATCTAATATTGACATTTGTAGCAACAGTAGATTCTTATATTGAATAAATGTGTGATGACAATTTTTATAATAATTTGGAGAAGTAACTCTATATTGTACAATTAGAGTATTTTATTGAATCTGCAAAAAAAAAAAAATCATGTCATTTTGTTAAACAAAAGCTTTATGTTGGCATCGTTTTTGCCTAATTTGAGGTCATTACATCATTTGGAAGTATGTCGACCCTACGCAAGCATAGTCGGCTAGTCAGACATAGAATTGCAAAATGCGGTCCGATGGTTCCGGCTTTGTGGTGTGCAACGCAGCTCCAAAGGCGACACCGCAACTCTAAAGACGACACTGCAACCTTGAATTTGATGGGATGCCTATCGGGAAACGAACCACCGCCATTTATAGTATCAGTGTGCCAGACCTGGTGCCGCGACGCCTATTCAATTTATTCAATGCATTTTTGGATGCATCGATGAGTCGGGCGAAGAGGCCCCCTAATCTTAAGTCTGGCTCAGCAGCGCCCTTTCAAAAATATTCATTGCGGCCTTTCAGGAAAGTTATTGTCCGGGGTTAGCGCCGCGATAACATGTCTGTCGTCACTGCGCTTGATTTTATATAAATAGGGCCACTGGTGAACGATTTTTCTATGCCTAAATTTCCACGGTGAAGCTCCGCCAATTTCTTTTTCTCTTTCAAAGATTTTCCCTTGTTTTTTTTTTTATGATCATGCCTCCAAGAAGACACTAGTGCTCACCATCACGAGAGGATTTGACTCACCTTGGTTTATAACTCGGGAGGCTGCCCGCAGGTATACAAACTCTCTTAGCTACAGAGACATCATCCCTGAGTGAGGTTTCTTCGAGCTTAGGGGTGGCGTGGCTACCACCATCATGAGGAGAGGATGGATGATTTTCGTGTGGGATATTGACTTCGTCGCGGTGTCCATCGTCCGAGAGTTCATAACGAAAAACAAGGAGACTTTAGACGATGGGGTGTATTTTAGGGTTTGTTGAGTGTCGTTCGATCACGAGATGATCAACAACATATACGGCTCAGCAAGGTAGGCCAAAGATCAGTTCTCCAATTTCATAAACCATGGTTCTGACTATAATGAGGTCTACAGATACCTCATCGAAGGGGTTGGTAACACCCGGTCGGTCAAGTCCGAAGGGCATTCCATCGATTTCCTCAATAACACCCTCGTGCGGGAGTCAAAGGTCTAACAGTTCTTTATTTATACCAAATTACTGCACAACCTACATATGAGCTCAGTGATTAAGGAGCACATTGCCCTAAACTATGCCATCCAACAATACTACACAATGGATGTTGGTCAAGTTATTCACTAGTCTATACTCCATATGGTCCGCAGAAGAATTACGATAAACATCGACCACCCTTTTGTTGTCTTTGCTTTATGCGTCAAAGTCGGAGTAGAGTTTGACCCCTAGGAGGAGATGGTGGTCCGAATGCTGCCCATTGTTGGGGATGGCTTTAGGGCCCAACTATTCCTCTACCAAGGGTCCGCTTTGTCAATGAACGGATCAAAGACCTCCAATTTGGCTTGATCTCAGTCAATCGAAAGACAGATCTCCTCAGATGCTGATTCACCCACAAGGAACATTGCCAAGGTAGTTAATTTACTTGGCTGACTCAATGTCTAGATCGGTTCATGGTCAAGGTCGGAGACAATCATGACCCTCCTCTCCAGTAGACGTACTTCTTGGAGCCCGTACCTATCAGAGCGGCCGACGGAGATGATGGAGACAACAATGATAAGGAGTGCATGGGGGATGAGCTCTAGATGTTTCTCCCTTTTTTGAGAGCGAGAGAGGGAGAGAGAGAGGGAGAGAGAGAGGGAGAGAGATGTTCTTTCTTTTTTTGTGTTGTTTCCATGTATGGATGGGACAAGACCCTTATTTGCATCCTTATGACTGCACCGTCAGGGTTCATGATTATTATCATGATCATGTTTCCCAACATGGAGGTTGATTTGTATGGTAACAACCCTGCATGGGTTTAATTATTCATCTTTATCATAACAAGATTTCCGTTAATAGGGGAGGGAAATTTATGTACATGCATCATTTGATATGCCATGTGGGAATAATATGTTACTCGGTCATTGTGTCAGTTGTGTTTCACACTTCACAAATCAGCTCCGGGAATTTTAACATCGTTTGGAGTGCCTCGATGATAAAAATTCAGTTTTTTGTGGTTTGTCGGGAACCAAATTGGTGTGTGATGTTTGCCACATTAGCGTCATGGTGCCTAATTTCATTAAGGGTCTGTATGACAACAAATGAGGTTTAAATTACTAGGGTTTAATAAATCCTATAAATTTAGATTTAGCAAATTCAGAAAGGGTTCAATTTCAAAAACTATTTGTCAACAAATATAATAAATCTTTTGAAACTGTTTCACAAATTCTGTGAGGATTTAAAAATTTGTTATGACAGTTACACATCAACAATGAATTAAAATAAAATTTCATAAATTATGTAAATTCAAATTCTTAAAACATTTCAAAATATATAAAATTTTCGTGCTTCTTTAATTTAATTAATATTTTATTTAAAATTATGATAATTAATCATTATATATTTACTAACTAATTAATTAGTAATACAAATTTTATTAAATTAATTATGAAATAGAGTTTTGACATCTATAAAAGATAATTAATTAGTTATTTACAACTTATAATTATTGAATGAATAAAAAAATTAATATTTATCTTTTATTAATTACCAATTCCTGATACATAATTATTTACATATAAGTAATCAATTAAATTAATAAAATTAACTTAAAATCAAATAAAATTAATAAAACGCTCGCCCATTTCCCTCCCCGTCTCTCTGTTTCGTCCAAAACCATCTCCTTCGTCATCGAATCCCTAGCGATGCAGTCACCGTAGGAGATAGTTGGGAACGTAAGGACGGGATCGCGGCTTCCAGTGATCCCAAACTCCCATTTTTCTCCTCCTTCCGCTCCTCTCCTACTCGAAACCATCGAGGAAGGTAACTTCTCCTCTTCTTTTTCGAGCGGAGCGTTCGTCGTCTGGCAAATTTAGGTTAAATCCAGCTTAAATCCTGCTCTAAATCTGTTACCAGAGGCCCTAAATATGCACCTAGCTTTTTTTGTTCAAAATTTTTTTCTTTTTTTATGTTTAAAATTTGTGTAAAAAATAATATTAAAATTTTATAAAAAAAATCGAAATTTTTAATATCTGCAAAAATTTGCGGTCCACTGGTTCTCCACATGTTCCATTTTGCCAACAGCCGGTAATTCATTCATTGGTGACCGGTACTATCCAGTCACGGGAGCGCCATGTTAGGAAATGGACTGGTATCAGAGATCTTCGTGACGGCTAGAAAATAGGTTACCCGTCTTCTCCGAAGTCGTATTTCAGGCACACGCCTGCTTTTCAGAGCCACCAGATCCGTCGCCGGCGACGAATTGGCTATTTCTGGAGGTTCTATTCTATCCTATTCTCCCACCCTTCCTTTCTCCTTGCTAGTTCTTGCTGCTACCCGAAACCGTTGAGGAAGGTAACTGTCGTCTTTCTCCTCCTTCTTCCCACACCCCCCCTGCTGCCCTCAGGCTTCCTCCTCGTGTCCTTCCTCTTCGCGCGCTTATCCGGATTTAATAAAATCGGAAAAATCTGGATTTATTAAATCCGGAGATTTAAGTTGCCCAAAATGACCGTCTGGGACCGTTTAAGCTAGATATCAGACAGCCCCTTAATATTTCAGAGGGAATCTATGATGCAAATTAAAGTTGTTTTAGTTGTTCTTGTCACTGGCATTGGGTTTTGGGCTTGAAAGTTAGGTGCTTAAGGTTTAAGGTAGAAGTAGATATTTTTGAGTTGAGCATGGTTTGTGCAAGTTTCAGAACTATTTTGTCAAATTGATTCATAGAGAGGTAATTTCTCTTACCTGCTTAGATGTTACCCATTGATTGTGCACTATATTAATGTTCTGTGAATCATAACAGTGGCTGAGTAATATAGAGTTTAAACTGCCATATGCATCTTGGGATACTTACCTTTCATTTTGGAATCAAACTATTACGCTTTCTTACTTTATTATCCATTTTCAGGAGCATTTATTTCGTATATATCTTACCTGCACCTTAATGTATATTTTCTTAAAATCTTCATTTAATTTTATTTTTTGACTTTCTATATTTGTTTTTGATGCAGATAATTTATTTAGATGGCTGCCAGAAGAGGCATTAACCAGCTTTTGAGCATGAAATTACATTTTAAGTCATCAGTAAGTCATGCCATTTTTTTTGGGCTATCCATTTTGTTATATTTATAGGAAATGACTAGACATTTTAATTAGTTCTCCAAAGTGGCAATAAGAAATTACAAATCATTCAAAAGTTGCAATTGTGGTTGCTAAGAAGTATATGGTAATGTAATAGCTATTCACTAGACGTGATTAGTATAAATCCAAAAATATAACCACCATTCAATTGATTGAAAACCACGCTATGATAGAAATCTATATTTTATCAAATTTGCAGTAATATTGTTCGTACTAAATCCAAATTAATATTCAGAGAGCACAAATAGAGTATTAGGAAAGATATTATATAATCAAGCATCTAGCTTTTAAAAGGAAATTTCTTCATCTAAAAATTTTCAGCCTCTACTTAGGTGTATTGAGCTACAACAAATTACACATTCAGACTGATTTTTTTTTTCAGATAGATTTGATTACATTTTTTACATGCCTTAGATCCATTTTTTATGGCCACCAAGTTCCCATTTGATTCACTTTTTTAAATATTCAGAAAATAAAACTGGCTGGATAAGTTGCGCCCCTTGCCACAAATGGAAGCTTTAAGAAATCACAAATCTTACTACAATATGCTATAGTAGAATAGGAAGACCCAATGGAGCTACCATCTCGAAGAAAAAGATCTCACATAATTTGTAGCTGTCCAATTTTAATGGAGGCTTGCAGTTCTCAAAATGAGAAGTGATAGGAGGATTGGGGGATTGATTTGCACAAAGTCCTATTTCAATGTAGGCTATTCTTTGCTAAAATTACCCTAATTTTCTCTTTCCTTTTGATTATATATGTTGCCATTTAGAGGTTATATATTAGTTGTACTATCATGACCAAAGAGTTATCAACTTGATTTTTTTTTCGCAGTTGGTTTTTGTACATCTATAAGAATTCTTTTGTTGATTAGCTGAATTTGTATGCTACTTTTTTCTTTAATTTTTACCTTGATATAGTTTTCTATAAGTGTTTTCCTTGAAAGACTATTAATAAGCATGGCTCTCGCAGACCTCATACTAAGAATGCTTTAACATCATGAAGTCTATGTTTGAGCACTATTTTGATTACTTTTTTTTCACTTGTAGCTGTTAAAGTTCCTTTTTTGTTTTTTTTCCTGCATTCTCATAAAGTTTCATTTTTTTTGTTTATTAGATTTTATGCAACATGCTAATGTAGACATGTTAGATGAGATCCACACATCTATTAGTATCACGCAATCCTTTATGACTATGGTATATGCTGATGGCTCATGATATCTTTTGTCAGCGCATTTCATAAGTTTTTTTATATATTTATTCATTTTGGTTGGTTATGGGCATAAATAAGTTGTGAAGGATTGTAATGTAATGGTAAATCTTTGCATGGAATTATATACATGGAGGCAATACTTGGATATGCATGACATTCAATCTTCTCGTTAGTTATTGACATGCATTGGAGTTGAACCTGTTTACTTTTTGTGAAAGATGGCTGTTTCCTACGCGATTTGCATTCTTGCTGTATAAACTTGCAGCTTGCTCCATCTATTCAACACTTTCATGGTTATTAAATAATTATGGCAATTTTTATAGAAGTTTCATGAAGAATGTAATTTAACTGAGCTTCACTTTTTGGATTATGAATAGCCTTTGCTTGTAAACTACTAGGTTTTTATATAGTTCCAAAGTTTGAAGTTCGTACTATAGCTGCATTCATGACATATTGTCCCCTTTTTAGCTTCAGTTGTCATTATGATTTACTCTTTGAGAGCATTGTTCTAGTGAGCTAATTTTTTAGTTTTTGCATGCAGATTCCATGGATGTCATCGTTTCTGGGGAAGCAGAATCCAGAGTTTGCTGGATCTGCCGGTATGTCATCTCTTAGAGGATTAGCACTACTTGGGGTTAGTGTTTCTGGAGTTTTAAGCTTTGCTACCATAGCTTCTGCTGATGATGAAGCAGAGCATGGTCTGGCTTGCCCCAGCTATCCTTGGCCGCACAAAGGCATCCTTAGCTCTTATGATCATGCATCGTGAGTATAGATCACTTCCATCTTTTTAAATAGGGACATTTACAGACATACAGCACAATTCTTATTTATTTACATATCTAAACACCTAAAGTTTGATATTTACATTTATGATACTTTTATACTATAACCCTATGCATGAAAAGTTGTATTTCACTTTCATAAAGTTAGTAATAGTGGTATTCTTGATGTGATGTTAAAGATTTGAGTGGCATGCATGTATATTTGAAAGTTTAGGTGTTAGATATGTAAATGTATATGATTGTGTGGTATGTATGTAAATGCCCCTTTAAATAAGTCAATTCAACTCGTGACTGTTCTTCAGAGTTATTTTTTGCTTTTTTATAATTGTTAATTTGCTTCAGAGGATTTTTTTCTACTTATCATTTCGTTGCAATTGTTGAACACGACTAACTATGAATACACATGGAAGAAACAACTCTTATTATTCTATTAAATTGTTCAAGTCCAAATACAAAATAGATGCAAAGCACAGAGTTACTCTTATTTTTTGTGAGAAATCCTCTCAATTTTTATATTTAATGATACTTTCAAGCTGTAATGTATTACCAGAATCCGCCGCGGTTATCAAGTCTATCATCTCAATTTTTATATTTAATGATACTTTCAAGTTGTAATGTATTTCCAGAATCCGCCGCGGTCATCAAGTCTATCAACAAGTCTGTGCTTCTTGCCATTCAATGTCTCTGATTTCTTATCGAGATCTTGTTGGTGTGGCATATACTGAAGATGAAGTAAAGGCGATGGCAGCGGAGATTGAGGTGGTTGATGGTCCTAATGATGAAGGCGAGATGTTTACTCGTCCTGGAAAACTAAGTGATCGCTTTCCTAAACCATATGATAATGAACAAGCAGCACGATTTGCCAATGGTGGAGCATATCCTCCAGACTTAAGCTTGATAACTAAGGTAATATTATTTTTTTTAATAAAAGAAAACATGTATTCAGCATTCAATCGATGCTTAAATTACAATACTATCCTTTCAGGCCCGACATAATGGACAAAACTATGTTTTTGCTCTTCTTACTGGGTACCGCGATCCCCCTGCTGGTATTTCGGTAATTTACGAATTCCTTTCCTGAGATGCAATACTTGATATGTTTAAGATATGTATCTTGCAATTTCATTTAGTTTGTTGGACATTAACCTTCCAGTATGAAATATTTCTTGATTTTTGACTTTATGGCATAAGCGATGTTGATTGTTTTTACTATTACCTTGTATCAGTATTGGATACTGAATACTGATTGAATTTTTAAAATTCAAATCTATATATGGATAATGCACTGAAAAACTCATCAGTCATTTATAATATTGTGATATAATGAGGTTTTGACCTTGAAATATTATAACTCGTGCATTAAATCATTGCATGAAATTGTTAATGCTTTGTTTTTAGGGTTTTTTACATACGTACCATAGGAAAACACTCACATCAAATAGTAAATATTACACTCATACCGCTCATCCCTTCCAAAATAAGCATGCATAACACTCCCATCTCCATCTTCCAATGCCATTCGCTCAACCCTGTTAAACCACACGACTTCGCCTTGCAAGGAAATGGGATTTCCGCTCGTCTCACCAATGCAGCTCCTCTTCACATGCCTAGAGTTCTTTTCTAGCCAACCACCTTACTTTCGTAATTGTTGCTCCTTCCTCTGCTAATCGAGAACCATTTGACTACCGACAACCTAACCTTTTTGTCGCACTGGCTGCTCCCCCGAGTCAAATCCTAGCCATTTGAAAGAAAATATAACTCCCTTAGATAAGCTGTGTTTTTTAAGTCCAACTACATTTATATTATACATAGCTTAACTTTGGTTTGCTAGATTATCTTAACTTGAATTTATCAGCTTGATCTAGAAAGACATCACTAAGTTTAATAAACTTAGATTTATCTGTTTGACGAGGAATATTATCATTCAGTTTTTGTTAGTTTAACTTTACTTTTTTTAGCATACCTTATAAATGATAGAGAAAACTTCTATTAAGTTAAATTTGATTAAGACTTATTTATGGTTAACTTAGGTTTCTTAGGATTGACAACTTAATTTTACCTGATGAAAAATAACTCTACTTGACAAAGAAATATAAGATTTTGATATATTTTGCTAAATAATATTTGACATGATTTTATTAGGTTTTGTTTGACATAATATTACATTGCTTAATTTTAATAACTTTCTTTAATGTCCTTCATTTATTTAATTATGATTAACTTTTATTTAAATTGTTTGACTTTGCTTTACAATTTCTTGGTTGATTTTATAAGGTAAGGCTATGATATATTTTCATTTAACATAACTCACTTTGGCTATGCTTAATATTGTATCAATTTGATTTACATAAAATGGCTAATAGGCTATTCTAAAATTATTTTTTAATGTTTGCATAATATAGCTAGTGGGATGGAGTTGAAAAACTTGAATTTCTTAGCCATTTGTATGTCATTTGTTTAATTTTAATTTTTTCTATTTAACATTACTTGAGATAAAGTAATCCGCAATTGTGTGTATGTGTGTTGTGTATGTGTGTTTGTGAGTATGTGTGTTTGTGAGTGTGTGTGTGTGTGTGTGGGTGGGTGCGTGTAATTAGGTAACATGAACTCTAGTCATTCATCAACAATAAGGAGTACCATCCAATTAAGTAAAGTGTACTGCAAATGTAATCACTTGCCAATAGAGATAAAATAATGATCGAAAATTTTATCGATGCACGCGAAACTGATTAAAAGACTGCATATATTTCAATTGATTGGATAATGATGAATTGTTAATAAATGCTATTTCATATCATTTACAAACTCATGACAAGATGTTATGAATGAATTTGAGTCTCTTGCAGTTAAAATGAGGATTTTGATAGTTGTCATTATTATAACTCTAGTGTACTCTTTATATTTTTAGTGTGTCTATATTACTTTTGATATTTTGTGTGTTGTAATCATCAGAATGTTGCCGGTTGTTCAAGATGGTTATGCAGTTTGACGTTTAATTAAATCAGTGTGTTGTAATCTTTTGTTTGTTCTGGGGGCTTACAAACCTATTGTACTTATGAACAACACTTAAAATTTGCTCTATTGTTCTATCTATAAAATATTGTGTTGAAAGTTTCATGTATTCATAAGCATATGGATATCTTGATATATATTTATGCTTATTTTTTATTTTTAATGAAATATGGTCTCAATAAAAATAAAAAATAATCATAAACTTATATCAATAAATCACATGTATTTATGAAAACATAAAACTTTCAACACAAAGTATATTCAACATGCAAAACCTGACAACACTTTCAACACAGCTAAACATGAAACTGTATAATCATCTTGAACAACTGACAACATGCTGACGATTACAACACAAAATATCAAAAGTAGTATAGATATACTAAACACATAAATAATACACTATAGTTATAACAATGATTGTCATCAGGATCTTCATTTTAACTGTAAGGAACTCAAATTTCTTCCTAATCAGCTCGTCGGGAGCTTGTAAATGATATATAATATCAATTTTTTAACATTTCATCATCATTCAACCATTTGAGCTATCTGTAGTCATCTCTTTATTAATTTAATACACATCAATAAAACTTTGTGCATTATTTGGTCTCTGATGACAAGTTAAAATAATGCAAAGAGGTGGTTACAGTCTAACATATTTGAAAAGAAAAATATAACACATGCAACGTACAAACTCACGTTAGAGAGGCATCCGGGTGATGGCGGTGACGGTTAGGGGGTTGGCTGAGGCGGGAGCAATTTTCTGGGTTGTAGATGAGAAGCGACAAAAATTAGGGGTAGCTGGAATAGCAGGGCAAGCAAGGGCGACAGTCCAAATAGCGGTAATGTATTGTTTGGGGCGGTTGAACAACATGAAAGCGATAAAAGGAAGGCATTGTGGCAATGGCAGCAAGCTGGAATAAGCTGGTTGGGGGGGGGGGGGGGGGGGGGGTGTTGGAACAGCAGAAAACAATTAGGAATGGTTGTTTCAGGGTGGGCAACATCGAGCGGGAATGGTTGCGACAGTGGCGGTGAAGGCGTGGGACTGCGGGGCCAAAGGAGGGCTGTCTTGTGGCTATGACAACGAGAATGATGGCTGGATAGCGATGAACTACAAAAAGACAACAATAGGACAATTGTCGAGGCAACAACAACAACGAGGAGGAAGGCATGGTAGTGTAGCAAGAGGGATGTAGGAAGGGATAGGGAATATAATTATCACCTGGGAACCAATATATAATTGAAGGACCACTTGGAACTCTAGGACACAACTCTTGAAGGGAAGAGAGATGTCAGAGGGTATGTTAATAGAAAACACACAAAAACTAAACCTAGAACATCAAAAAAATAAATATATAATAAGAGTATAATGAGGTGTGGCCTAAGATGACTGACAAACTTCCCACAATAGCAAAAAAACATGGATTGGTTCAGTCCATGCGCGAAACGACGGTCCACTTGATCTATGGACTGCAGCAGATAGTCTAAACAATCCCGTGGGAGGGGGGGAGAATCTCCCGCGCATGGAGGCTCTAGAGAAGCAGATTGTGCTAAAAAAAAATTGGGGTTGTCGGCTGTTAAATGACTCTTAGTTAGTATAGGGAGAAGCAACAATTACAAAAGCAAGGTGGCTAGCTGGAGAAGAACCCTTGGCGTGCTTGCGTGGAGATAAAGGACGACTAGGGTGCATGAGGGGGGAGAGTTTTACTGGCAAGACAAAGGAAGCCTTTCTACCGGGCGAGATGAAGCTATGTGGTTTAAAAAGGTCGAGCGAGTGGTGTTAGGAATGGGAGATGGAGTAGTATGTGTGTTTCTTTTGCAAATGATGGGTGGTATGGGCATAATATTTACTATTTAGGTCTTAAATGAGTAAACGTGGGTGTTTCCTGTGGTGCGTATGTAAAAATCCCTTAACTTTATGATCTCAGGCGAGGAATCCATTTTGTGAAATTCACCACAACCACCATTATTATCTCTTCCCCATTTGTACTGTTGAATTTATGAATCCTTATTCTTCAGCCTTTCTTGTTGAGATTTTCATCTCACGCTTCAAGTTCTTTTAGGCTTTTTTTTTGCATCAATCGTTGTAAATATTTAACTTTTTTTTCAGAATGAGTTTGGAAAAGTTGTGCATCTGTTTGCTTTGTTCACCATTGCATAAAAATAATAAGATCCATAAATATTTCATTTCGTTGTCTTTTTTTCTAAAGATTGCATGCATCTATGTTTGAAATCCTAAACCTTTATAAATTCTGCATCAAGTAGACTTCGCATACAAATTGTCTAATCCAATGCATTGAGCTTTAACTAGGGTTTGTGGAGGGGTTGCTGTACACATGCTACCCTACATTTCATAGAACTTATTTTCATGACTCAAATAAACAACCTCTTATCCAAGCCATCTCTAGGTCCATGCACTAACAAGTGGTTTCTGTTAACTCTTTTAAGTTCTGGCTCCCTGATGAGCATGATATGAGTATGAATGCCATCTTATTACACGTCAAAGTATTGATTCTCAAAACCACAATGTTTGAGAACATTGTGTGATAATATAAAAATACAATCCCATTTTGCAAGTCAGTTCCAACTCTTGTAAATACATGTAAAATAGGATGAATGGATCATACTATTCGATATACTCCCAATATATGCATTAATGGCATTATTACTGTAGAAGCTCTTAGTTGATATTGTTAGTATAGAAGCCCTAGGCAAATGTAGAACATCTTGTCATAGGTCACGGTTAGGGAACTTAAGGATGAGAAGCATCACTCAATCTCTCCTTGATGTTGTAAATTATTTGTTTGGCAGCCTTTAACCAATTGAATTCTCCTTTTTAGATTGTTTTCAATGGGATTCATTGTAATAATAAACTTTTTATAGACTTGCTTAAAATGTTTGCTGGGAATGAAAGCTATTTGCGTTGTGTTATTGGTAAACTAGAACCAATATAAATTTATCGGAAATATCCTCTCTAGACACAAAAAAGGCAAGAAAATAGCAAGGAAAATACGCTTCTTCATATTAACCAAAGCAAGGAAAGCC